TTATTATTATTTTTGAGATGGGGGTCTCACTCTATTGCCCAGGCTAGAGTTCAGTGGTGTGATCATGCCTCACTGCAACCTCTGCCTCCTGGGCTCAAGTGATCCTCCCACCTCAGCCTCCAGAGTAGCTGGGACCACAGGCACACACCACCACACCTGGCTTTTTTTGTATTGTTGGTAGAGATGGGGCTTCACCATGTTGCCCAGGCTGGTCTTAAACTCCTGAGCTCAAGCAACCTGCCTGCACTGGCCTCCCAAAGTGTTGGGATTATAGTTGTGAGCCACTGCACCTAGCCAACATGTTGCAATATGTTAGAGATCTGACCCCTACCCTTAGGAACCAAGTAATGGACAGGTCCTGGCTGGGCTAGCTATTAATGCTAAGTTTCATTTTAGAGAAATAAGAGATTTCTCCCAAATTCTTCCACACGATTCTGGCTATTTCTTCATGTAGGGCTTAGTATTCTCCAGAATTTTCCTATAGAATCTGCCTAGGTTCTTCTCCCAAATGAGGCAGTCATGGAAAGTACTTAGAATGGAGCCTAATTTGTGGTAAGCACTTGGCAAATGAGCAATTATTATTATAATCTTCATTAATTTAACAAATATATGAGCAGTGTATCACTTACGGGCTACATTTGACTGCATATAATAGACCCAAATAGGTTAAACCTCTATATTTGGGTTAACCACCCCTGTTACATCCCCAAATGAACAGATGACAACATCTCACATAATATCTCACCACCTTCATATAATAACAAGTTTAAAGGCAGGTAGCCCAGGGCTGGAATGACAACACACAATTCCTTCTCCTTCTTTCTGTTCAGCTGTCCTTAACATGGTTTTTGTCGTCTTTCATCTGTCACCACATAGGCAAATAGCCCTAATCCTTGTCACTTCTAGCCACCCTAACCACATTTCAGGTAGAAAGAAGGAGGAAAAGAGGAGGAAGGGACAGTTCTCTTTGCACTGTAAATGTTTCTCAAAAATGCCCTAGCCTATCTCATTGGCCAGGATTGTCTGACTGATACTTGGAGCTGCAGGGGAAGCTGGGCACAATGCTACCCTAAACAAAACCAGGATTCTCTTGGTAAGGAAGAGAAAAATGGATATAGGGTAGGAAACTAGCAGTGTCTCATCCAGCTCAGACACTGAGAAGCACAGTGCCAGCCCTCAAAAACAGGTGGAGGAAAGAGATAAGTGAGAAATTGTAACAGTGTAATAAAGATTACGATAGAGGTGTTATTGTGGATGTGCATAAAAGGGACACGTAACTTGTACTTGAGAGGTCAGGAAAGCCTTGCTGAAGGAAATGATAGCTGAGACCTGAAGCATGGGTAGGAGTTGGCCAGGGAAGTGTGAGAATGCACAGATGTTCAGAGGTGAGACTGGGTCTTTTCTTGGAGCACAAAGAAGTTTAGTGGGGAACAGAGTGCATCATAGCGAGCAGTGAGGTTGGTGAGCAGGAGACAGAGGATGGACTTCCTAAGCCACTTTAAGGAATCTGTATCTGTCTTCAAGGCACTGAGAAGCCACTGTGGGTACAATTTTTTTTTTTTTTTTTTTTGAGACAGAGTCTCAAATCTGTTAAAAACCTGTCACCCAGGCTAGAGTGCAGTGGCGCGCTCACTGCAACCTCCGCCTTCTGGGTTTAAGCGATTCTCCTGCCTCAGCCTCCTGAGTAGCTTGGATTACAGGCGCCTGCCACCACGCCTGGCTAATTTTTGTTTTTTAAGTAGAGATGGGGTTTCACCATGTTGGCCAGACTGGTCTTGAACTCCTGACCTCAAGTGATCCGCCCATCTCGGCTTCCCAAAGTGCTGGGATTACAGGTGTGAGCCACTGCGCCTGGCCAGCCACTGGGGGCTTTTAAGCAGAAATTTTTCTTGCTGGTTTTAAAAACTGGAGTGGGAAAATCATTCAATCATAGCAATTATTTTTAAGTGCCAGTAGATTACCTATCCCTTCTTAATGCACCAGGAGATATACAAATGCACCTCAGCCAAGTCCTCTCCCCTTGGACAGGGGTGCCCCCAGCTGGCCATTGCCTTCAGAAGCTGGAAGCCATGTTTGTCTAAACCTCTTGTTAACGTTTTGAATTTCCTTCCCAACGTAATTCTATGGGATAAAATTAGGCTTGTCCTGGAAATGCTACCCCAATGAGGAGGCATCACTTTCTATCTTCTTTATTCTTCAATGTTTATGCTCAATAATAAAGATTCTTTTTTAAGGGTCAATCAAGTTCATCAAGGGTATTCTACAAGGCTAAATACATACAGAAATCATGAGTAACCTAAATAATCTCTAATATGTTTGATTAGATCACCTAACTCTAGATAGAATGTTCATTTTTCTTGGTTTAAAAAGGGCTCACACATTTGATTAATCTCCCAGTTTACAAGATTACAAGTTTATCACTCCTGGACACTGGCACATTAGCAGGGACTACTATAGCAGCACTGGGTACATTATCACTACATTTCCCAAACTAGTATCTTCAGTGTACAACTTATTATTAAAACAGGATCTTGCTCTGCCACCATAGCTGGAAGGCAGTGGCACAATCATAGTTCACTGGAGCCTCAACTTCCTGGGCTCAAGAGATCTTCCCGTCTCAGCTTCATGAGCAGCTGAGAATACAGACAAGCACCATTTCAAAAAATTTTTTAAAAGACTGGGTCTCACCATGTTGCCCGGGCTGGTCTCGAACTCCTGGGCTCTTGATCCTCACGCCTCAGCCTCCCAAAGTACTGGGATTGCAGACATGAGCCACCACACCTAGTCCAGAGTACAACTTATAAAAGAATGACATATTAGAAAACACCCTTTTTATTACTGCACTTCCTTGGTACATTTCAGTCTTAAGTTAAAGCAACTTTTCAAAGACAAGGGCATTATATTTTCCAGGCAGCTGGAAACAGTCATTTGCAACCCACTCTCCACCCCATTCCTGATTTCCTTCTCTATTTTTTTTTTCATAGAACTTTATCACATTTTAGCATACCATATAACTTACTGCTGTCTTCCTTCACCAAATAAAAGCTCTTTAAAACCAGGTATTTTTGTTTTGCTGAGTGATGTAACAATAGTGGTTAATAGTGCCTAGGAAGGCATTCAAATATTTGTTAAAAGAATTTGCAAATGTATCATCATAGGTGTTTCTTCATATGGCTGTCTGTTCTGCCAAGGAAGGGCCAAACTCACCTGTGAACTTTCGAACCTTCTACTTCTTTTGTGTGTGTGTGAGTTGCTGAATCCTACCTATCTTTCAGGCAACAAAAGCGAATCAACAAATTGTTCTAAGGCAGTAATTACACACAGGACACTTTTTCAGCAGGCAACTCAACTTTCAAAAGCAATGTCATCCATCTTCCTTCATTAGTTGAGGTTTTAAATGCCATTATCACACTAAACCTATTCATTTATACTATTACTCCACACTGCCACCATTGCACATTTTTCAAATGTTACACTGTAATGATTCAGGCACTCTACTAACATAATTGGATTAACTAGATGGTATTTTGGCTGACCTGAAATTCTGGAAAGACTGTTAATGAATCCTTTCCAAGGATTTGAATTCCCTCCTGAGCAGCAGAATCAGGGAGACCTTCGTCTTTCTGTTCTTGTATCCATCTTTTCAACTCACTTATCTACCCAAAAATTACTTACTCAACTTTATATAAGCCATTTTTCACTGCGGACCTCTAGGAAATTTTTGTTGAGACTAGACTAAAATCTCCACAAAAAGTGTCTGACCTACAGTAAGTGCTCAAAAAGTTTTGTTCAAAGAATGGTGGGCACTTTATATCTTTATCACTCATTTCTAAATGCATAATCTGATGGTGGTCAATGTACACAGGCCTACCAGAGACCTAGCTGGCTAATCTAACTGGGCCAGAGCCAGGGGGCTTATTTAAATCACTATGGTGGGCAGAGTCCTAAATTGGCTCAAGATATCCCTCAGACCATGAATATGGGACTTGGTGTCTGTCGTTTTAAAAAACCTGGCAAGAGATTTGCGGATGTAATTATGATTCTCATCAGTTGACTTTGAGTTAAGCAAAAAGATGTGGTAGGCCTAATCACACAAGCCCTTTAAAATCATTTTATCTGGTTTGTAGCATAAAGGGAAGTCAGACAGATTCCAAGTATGAGAAGAACTGAATGCACCATTGCCAGCCTAAAGATGGAAGGAATCATGTGTCAAGAAATGTGGGTAGCTTCCTGGAGCTGAGAGTGGCACCTGACAGTCAGCAAGGAAATGGGGACCTCAGGCCCATGATGCAACGATCTGGCAACTCAATGAGCTTAGCAGCAGACTTTTCCCCTAGAGACTCCAGAACAATGCCCAGCCTGGCACTCAACTTGATTTCAGCTTTAAGACCCTAAACAAAAAAAAGGTCAGTCAAATCTGCCCATCTGGCCTACAGAACTGTAAAATACTGTTTGTGATAATTTGTAAAGCAGCAATAGAAAACTAATAACATAACCATTCCATACTAGAAAGTGGTTTTTTTTGCAAGGACCAAATCCTGCAATTATAGCAGGTTTGTTACTAACTCATTTGCTGTCATGCAAGCTCTTCCTTGCTTTTCCCTTTCCTGAATTTCTGCTTTCCTTTTCCATGACCATGGAAATACTGTCCAGGAAAGAATTCCACCAAAAATTAGTTTTTACATCTGAAAACAAGATCAGTTAAGGTACTAAAAGAAAACTTCTTTGGACAGTGTCCAGCTTATAATACTGCCCTTTTATAATCAACCCACAAAGATAAATCAAGGAATAAACTTATCAATAACCAAAAAGGTCCACATCCATGCCAATACATTTATAAAAATAAAAAAGTACAATACAAATTAGATATTGAAAGTGCATGCAAATTCTCTTATGAGAACTGTTATACAACCTGACAGGATACTAAAAAATGAAAATTAAAATTTCAATAAATAAATAAAAAGAGAACTGTCTCAACATAGAAAACAATCAAATAAATATGTACACTGAGTCAGAAAATTATTTTAATAGTTACAAAACTTTTTTTTTTTACAGAATCAGTATAAAATAGCAGTTGATTTCTCCATAATTATCAGAATTATTTATACTTGAGGTCTTGGCTAAGTGGGGCTGAAATCAACAAAAGGTCTTGGACTGTTGGCTCAGAAATCATCCTAGGAAGCCCGCCCTGTTGATATCTGTCATGCTTAGCTCTTATGAGATGACCCAGTCCTTAAAAAAAAAAAAAAAAAAAAAAAGAATCTCTCTTTATTCATTCTTTGGAGGCTTGAAGTGAATTCGGCAGCGTTCATTAAACACCTAAAATATTGAAACAGAAATAAAAGTCATTGAGTTATCCTGTATAAATCAGGCCTGGAACTAAATTCAATTTAGTATGCTTCAAAAGGTTATTACCATTTTTGTCCTAAGTCAACAGATTTAGGAAACAGAAGAGTTTCCTCACTAGTTCAAACTGACTTACGAGGTGTGAATGCACAGAAGGCCTTGACATGTATTTACAAGACAATTCTAATATTTTAATAAAATTTAAGTTACTTAGGGAAAAAATCATCAAGAGCCAGGTAATTTAGTTACTAGCAAACATTTCAACTTCATATTCTGGACATTTTTTAAACAACTACACAAAAATATCTAAAATAAGTTTAAATAAAGAATGCTCAATAACTAAATGTCCACATGGAACTATGTTAAATAAAAATTTGGTATGGTTATTCAATGGAATACAAACAAGGTTAAAAATAATTTATGTTCTGATTTAAAAAGATCTCCAAGATTATTAAGGGAAAAAAACAAAGTGTGAATAGTACACTTTCACTTGTGTAACAAAGGTAGAAAAATACACACACATAAAATCAGAAAAGGTGTATCTGAAAGCATATACCATTTTTCAGAGAAAAGGGAAAGAAAGAGGTGGCTGAAGGAAAGGGACAGAAGGTAGAATTTTTACTGTATATTACTATTTTAAAAAATTTAAAAAAATTTTTTAATATTAAAAAAATTTAAATCACATGTCAAAACTTTTAAGTGTCCAATTAAAACAATTCTGAGGCTGGGCGCGGTGGCTCAAGCCTGTAATCCTTGCACTTTGGGAGGCCGAGGCGGGTGGATCATGAGGTCAGGAGATCGAGACCATCCTGGCTAACATGGTGAAACCCCGTCTCTCCTGAAAATACAAAAAACTAGTTGGGCGTGGTGGCGGGCGCCTGTAGTCCCAGCTACTCAGAGGCTGAGGCGGGAGAATGGCGTGAACCCGGGAGGTGGAGCTTGCAGTGAGCCGAGATGGGCCACTGCACTCCAGCCTGGGCCACACAGTGACACTCCGTCTCAAGAAAAAAAAAAAAAAAAAAAAAAAAATTCTGAAATTGAAAAGAATTTCTTCTCAGAATGTACCCCCATACATCATTAATGTGAAGAACAAATCACTTTTCAGGTAAAAGAAAAAACAAACTACCTATGTTGGCTGCCATTGACTATTACAAAAATAAAAGAAAAATCGAAACACAGAGGTTGTGAGGTATTGTTATTATTTTATTTCTTTTTATTTATTTATTTTTGAGATGGAGTTTCACTCTTGTTGCCCAGGCTGGAGTGCAATGGCGTGATCTCGGCTCAATGCAACCTCCACCTCCTGGGTTCAAGCAATTCTCCCACCTCAGCCTCCCGTGTAGCTGGGACTACAGGTACCTGCCACTACACCCAGCTAATTTTTTGTATTTTTAGTAGAGACGGGGTTTCACCCTGTTGGTTAGGCTGGTCTCGAACTCCTGAACTCAAAAGATCCACTTGCCTCGGCCTCCCAAAGTGCTTGGATTGCAGGCGTGAGCTACTGCGTCTGGCCTACTATTCAATTTCTTAAGCTGAGTGGTAGATATATGAATGTTCATTTTATTAATATTCATTAAATTCTACGTGTCACATATCTTTGGCATATGCATCTCACAATTAAAAGAAAATATATAGAAATTATATAGACTCTTTCTAGCCTTTTTACGATTCATCTCACTCATTTCCAGCCCTGATATTTCCCTGAAATTCCCAATCAGACAAGAGGGAGGCTTCAATTTAGTGGCCTGGACACACTGGTTGGGGTGATACATACAACTTGGCTGAGCCTCTCCAAATCCTTTTCCCAAGTGATTTCCTGTCCACTTCTGCTGGCCCATTGCACCAGAGTACGATGGCTACATTTTCCTCTTTTTAAAACAAGTAAGGGCCTCATCTTCTGTGGAGTGGATAGACCATATTTTCTTTAAAACTAATATTAAATCCAAAGTAGTTCACTCTTCCCACCACATTATACATACACCATAAATTTCTGCACTTGTTGTTTCAAGCCAGATGTTTCACTGTACCCCTTCCCCATCCAATCCCAAGAGTAAATATGATTTCTCCAGAGAGTAAAAATGGGAAAATATTGCCAAATCCTCTCAAGTGACAGACACCTTATCATGTTGGTGGAAAGGGCAGGAATAGGAAACCTTGGCAAAGAGGATAAGATAGAGAAATGTGATAAAGCAAAGAAAGTCAATTTGTATTTTGCAATTTGTTCATGTCTCAGCAAGCTGGTACATTCTGGTTTTGGTTCAGCTAACCTCTCTTATAAGCATACAGCTTAACAACATTCCAGTAGTTAAATTCAAATGATAAAACAGAATTTTCAGTACATTTTCTCAGATTTAATAGATTTTTGCCCTTTGTAAATCTTTTAGAGTTTTAGAGAGGGGTAAATGGATATACTTTTCCAGAAAACTAAAGTCAGAGTTTTATGAATTTTGACTATATGTAAGTTTCTGGGATCTGGTCCCCTAATCTTGTTCCTAACAAGAACTATGCAATGATAATAAGGAGGTTGTAAATCTATGAGCAATCAAAAGCCTTATTATCAGATACCAGTAAAACTACATATAATAACAAGTTTTATGATCAGATAAGTTAGAAGAGAAGGAACTGTATAGGTTACCTAATGATAGGAAAACTTACGGAAAGTAACTGAGCTCAAAAAAGCTAATTTTAACAAATAGCCTCCTTGAAGGTTCTGAGTAGTTACTCTAAATGTCAACTATGCCTGTAATTAGTGTTAGGAGACATAGAGAATGCCTCTAATGCTGTTATGATGGCAGCTCATTTAGTTCTATCATATGCTTATAAAGATAATTTTGTTTTGTTTTGGGTTTTTTTTGGAGATGGAGTCTCACTCTGTTGCCCAGGCTGGAGTGCAATGGCTTGATCTCAGCTCACTCCAACCTCTGCCTCCCGGGTTTGAGCGATTCTCCTGCCTCAGCCTCCCAAGTAGCTGGGATTATAGGTGTGAGCCACCATGCCTGGCTAATTTTTGTATTTTTAGTAGACACAGGGTTTCACCATGTTGGCCAGGCTGGTCTTGAACTCCTGATCTCAGGTGATCCACCTGCCTTGGCCTCCCAAAGTGTTGGGATTACAGACATGAGCCGCCTTGCCTGGCCCAGTAAAGCTAATTGTTATAAAATGGCGCTAATTAGATGCTAACTGAATCCTGCTCTCCCTCCCCCACCCCCCAAAAGGTTACAACCCTCAACTGTAAATGTAAATGAGTGATCTCTACTCTCCTTACAGCCTCAAGGCACTCTTTACTCCCCTCCCTTGGTTTCCCTTTGTTAGTTCAGTTTTCCTGCTACTTCTTTCCAAATACCAATGTTATTTTGTACCTTCCAGCTCCTGTCATTTACCACTTCTTCAACATTCAGTTCTGACTGCATCCATTTCAACTGCAAGAAAAAAAAAATTGAAGTTATAAAATTTAAAGAGCTAAAACCACACTCATGTTTATCCAACAAAACCTGCTGCTGCTCTAGTATTTTTGTCTGTTAATGGCAGAGTTTGGAAGCTTCTTTGACACAATCAACTTTCCCCATATCTAATCAATTGCTAATCTCAAACTTTGCTGCATATTCTAATCACCTTGAGAGCTTTAAAAAAAAATCCCAAGGCCAGTCAGTTCACAGAAGACATACAAAATGCCAGTCTTACTAATGTATAAAGAAATGCAAATTAAGCCATAATATGACAAAATGAGTAAGTCTGATAAAACCTAACATTAGTGAAGGTATGGGAAAAGATATACTCCTATATATTCTTAGTAAGAGTATAAATTGTTACAACTTCTATGAAGGGCAATTTGTCAAGACTCACAGGAAATGTACATTCTCATGTCCTTGAACCCAATGATTCCAGTCCTAGAGATTGATCATACAACTACAGATTTGCAAAGATAGCACAGAGGAAAAAAAGGACAAGGAAGTGTAAACCTGATTTGAATAGAGAATTAAGAAAAAAAAAAACCTCAAGGAGGAAAGAGAATATAGGTGGAAGTGATCTAGAAAGGCATGCGCTTCCTCACACTTTATCCATACAGTCAGAAGTCTCAGGCTAAAAATGCCAAGTCTTTAGCTTTCTTTATAACTGCCAACCTAATTACTCCGAGAGAAAAGTAGCCAATTCCATTGCCAGGCCCTGAGAGCAGGGCTCACAATACTCCCAGTAACATTTTGTTAGAGGACTTGAAGGGGAAAAAGCTGGCTAGTTCCAGGCAGAAGGCTTGAAAATATTCAGGAAAATGAGGAGAAAAAAGCATGAACTATAGGTTGATGCCACCTAAGAGTTTAACACCAGGATGACTTCCTCAGGCCAAAGTGAAGAACCCAGACCAGATTTGGGAATAAAATGCCAGAGAGCTCAACAAGATCTGGGCAAGCATGAATCTGACACCCAGGCCAAAGACCCTGGCCAACTAGGAGCGCAGTTCAGGCAGGAGGTTTGAGACATTCGTGGCAACACTGATAAGAATGGAACTTGGTACAGGTCCAATAGCTCCTTGCAAACTCCCTTCTTAGATGCAGAACTGGTGTCAAAGCGTAGGTTGGTACACATGGCAAGAACTGTGGAACAAGGAGAACTGCATTCTGACAATTAGTCCTGTGCTGTGCAGTAGTAACAAGCCTGAAGAAGCCCACCAATGCAACCTAAGTTCCCATTTTAATCAGCCATACAGACCAAAATCATTAAAGCTCCATTTCTCTGACAAAGCCTGGACTGACTGCCAAAGAAATAATTTCAGTTGAAGAACAGTGTGAAAGTCACTAAGATAGTCTTCAAAACTGCTCTCAAGTATTTAAAGGGATACTATGCAGAAAAGGGTTCAGAATTATCCTGGGTAACTCCAGAGAGAAGAATAAGAAGCAGTACTTATATATTATGGGAGCAGAATTTCACAATATATATGAAAATCTTGGAACAATTAGAACTGTCCAAAAGAGAATACACTGACGCTGAGACAGGGGATCCTCCCCTGCCACAACACCCTGCCCTTAAGCCGTAGTGAAACAAAAGCTAGAAACCACTGGTTGGTGATATGACAAAGAGGATTAATGCAACAAATATGGAGTCCCAGAGACTCATAAAGGAAAGAAACTGCTACTTCGTAGCAGCCAATATGCAAGGTCTTTCTTACATCCTTGAATCCTCCCCACACCACCCCACCCCCCTCCTCAAAAAAAGTAAGAAGTTATTAGGTATCAGCTCCATTTTACAGACTCAAAATCAGAATTTTCAGAACAAGATTACAAAGCCACCAAGGTAGGTGGGATTTATTTCCTTAGAGCTGTCAGCCTTTGGATTATTTTTTAAAATTCTACAACATTGCAGATATTACAGCCAACTTCTAATATAATTTTATCAGTGCTACCAACAAACTGTCACCTTTGAGACAGTTGTCTCTAGGTCTTCAACAGGTAAACTTAAGGCAACTAACATGTGACAGCAGTTACAGAGGTCCAGAAAGGAAGGTGCTTTTTTTGAGTTAGAAAGGTTCAGGTAAAGTAGTGGGGAGTTTCTGACGGGCATCTGTCTATAAATAAAATATACTCACTAAAGTATTTGACTATTAGTCACAACTTAAAGAAACTGACTGAATCCAGGGTCAGAAGAGATGGGTTAAAGTCCCAGTTCTACCACTTACTAGCTTGTGGCTTTGGGGGTGTCAGTTAGTATCTCTGAGTCTTTTTCCTCAGATAGAAAATGAAGAGGTAGAGTTGTACCATCTCCAAGAGCTCTCTCTGATTCCATAATCTTCATAGCAAACTTGAAAATTAAAAAAAAAATTCACGTTTCCTTATTTGCTTATGTACTAACCCATGGTTACCCCCAGCCCTATATGTTATCGAGCTAGAAAGCAAACCTCATTCAACTCACTGATTGGTTTCTCAACCCCTCCTTGCAGTGGTCATCCTGGTGATTCTATCTGGGCCCTAAAGACACAAGGGCAGATCTGGAGGCTGAGTAAATTGTGTGTCACAATCACTCCCAAACACTCAGTAGTTTAGAGTTTTGAACTTTGCTCTCCACTAACTAGTCACTCTATTCTGTTTGACTTGATCTGTAAACAGTGACTTTTCAGTTTCTGATTTAACAGCCTTTGCCCTGCAGTTTCCTTTGTCAACACCTTCAAGGGCATTGAAATACAAACTCCAATATTACTAGACTTTCACCAGTTTTATATAAATTATCTGTATGCCAGCTGGACACGGTGGCTCAGGCCTGTAATCCCAGCACTTTGGGACGCCAAGACGGGGGGATCACACGGTCAGGAGTTCGAGAGCAGCCTGGCCAACATGGTGAAAACCCGTCCCTACTAAAATACAAAAAACAAAAAATTTTAGCTGGGCGTGGTGGCAGGCACCTGTAATCCCAGCTACTAAGGAGGCTGAGGCAGGAGAATCCCTTGAACCTGGGAGGTAGAGGTTGTAGTGAGCCCAGATTGCACCACTCCAGCCTAGGCGAAAGTGTGAGACTCCATTTCAAAAAAAATAAAAATAAATACACAAATAAATAAATAATCTATACGCCTTCATGAACAGCAAGGGGAATAAGATCAACATCACTGCATTAGGTCACTGTCCAAGGGATCCACCAGTGCCTGTTGCATGAGCAGGTATGGAATACAGACCTGATGCAGTAGTCATGAACAAAGAGAGCAGCAAAGACAGTGGCTGAGTCCTATATCCAGTGAGACATCCTGAATTGGCGCAATGATCGAGAAAGTGCAGCAGCCCGGCCTACTCACCTTGTGTGCAGCCAGCTACAAGGAAAGAGGTTTCTTTTCTTTTCTACTAATAGTTTTCAATAGATGATGAGGTCCCCTTTTTACAGTTTAGCTACATCTTCTAAACAAAGGGCAAACTTCATGACTGTGCAGTATGAAAAGCATGACTCAATCCCACAAGGATCCGTAAGTCACCTATTATGCCATCTTAAAATATAAACATGAAGTCAGGTGTGGTGGCTCACACCTATAATCCTAGCACTTTGGGAGGTGGAGGAGAGCGGATCACTTTGAGCTCAGGAGTTTGAGACAAGCTTGGGTGACATGGGAAGACCCCATCTCTACCCAAAATACAAAAAATGAGCTGGGTGTGGTGGTTCGCACCTATAGTCTCAGCTACTGGGGAGGCTAAGGCAGGATTGCTTGAGCCCCAGAAGCAGAGGTTGCAATAATTGAGATTGCACCACTGCACTCCAGCCTAGGTGACAGAGTGAGACCCCATCTCAAAAACAAACAAAAAAAACCATGATTTTGATAATTGTACACTGGTCCTGTAGGAAAAGTCCCTGTTCTTCGAAATAACTAATGAGTTTAAGGGTAAAGTGGTACAATGTATACAACATACTCTCAAAATGGTTCATGGGAAAAATATATTTATGCACACAGGTGTGTGGGGAGACAGGGAGAGTGAGGAAGGCAGGGAAGGATGAAGAGAAGGAGAGAGGGAGGGTGAAGAGAATAAACTGTAAAGCAGGTGGGGCAACATATAAATATTAAGTGAATATAGGTGAAAGGCACATGAGAGTTCCTTGTACTATTCTTACAACTTTTTTGTAAGTTTGAAATTATACAAGATAAAAAGTTGCCGCTAAGAGTCCCCTCAAAAGAAAGACAGCAATAAATCCCACACAATAAAATATGATGTATTTTTCTATTGTTTCCCTGACTTGTCACACACAAGGGCTGTAAAGAAACAGTTCTGCTGCATTAACTGTATTCTGAAGTCTACACCCTATCTACATTATAGTTGACTTGGGAAAATAAGGCTTCCTCTGACACATCCTAGGTAGGTACTTGCCGTTTTCTTAAAAGTAAAAACACTGCAGGAATGGGGGAGGAAACGGGAAAAAGGCATGTCCAAGAAAAGGCCAAAGATCCCTAGCAACTTTTACACAGTAGGGAAATAAATTATGAGGTACAAGTGCATCTGGTTATATTTAAATCACACTATATTTTTATGGCTAATGAGGGTAATATCCTGAAGTTAAATAGTCTATATTACATTTCAGCAGATTTCTACAGAATGAAACTGGAGCTATTTTCAAAATATATTAGAGATGTTTTTTCTCAAGTTATGTCTCAAAAGGGAGATACTATACAGATGTGATTTCCCCAGAATTTCTGATGTGGTACTTCACCTGTAGTGATCCCTTGTCTTTAATAGAAAGAAACAAATAAATGAAAATAAATTATGACTATGTGCTCATTTTAGACAAAGCTGCTATGTTGCATTTGTTCAAGACGTGCACACTAATTTACCAATTAATATCTAAACATAATAAAATAAAGCCCACTAAAATTGAAGCACTCGTCTCTCGGTTATTTTTTTTAAGTAATAGCCATATTATATGCCAAAATTTTCATATTAAAATTTTTACTTTCAAGGCTACAGTTGGAAAAACTTTGCCTGAGAAATGTTAATTCTGTTCAACTTACCTTTGTCTGCTCTTTTCTAAGTTGCTTTAATAACGTTAAATCATCCAAATTCTTTTCTCTCTCTTCCCGGAGGTTTTTTACTACTGCTGAGGTCTGGGCTATACAATTTTTTATGACTCTGTCTCTACTGGCATGAGCTGCCATCAACTAAAGAACAAAGGAATGAAAGGAGAAAAAAAATGCATCAATTTTCACATTTTAGTGCTTTTCAAAAAAGTTCTTGAGACTATACAAATTTAATACTTTCTAAAACAATTTCTGATGACCGAAACCATGAAAGAGAAGATTGTGTTGAATCAGCTACTTCATCTAAAAACATAACCGGCAGCATCTCTGAGGGTGGAAGGTATGAAGTCTGGGGCTGTCCTCCTCCTCAATATGCTCCCGGTATTGCCCTCGGCTTCCTGCATTCCCCACACTGGACTTTTCACTTCGGTTTCGTCTACCTTACATCACTGACTTTTCCTGTGATTCCATTCATGTGTTCCTCTATTCTACAACCACCCGCACACGCCTGGCCACTGACGGCTATTCTTCCTCTCTTTGTCCTTTCATATTTTTTTCTGTCTTACATTGTTAACAAGTGAAAGAAATTATACACTAAGTCATGTATAGAAGATTTCACTACAATAAAGAATAACAAAGAATGCTACATTTACCTACGGAAGACAGAGCCCTTTTCAAGATTATAAAGTATAAGTACTGATAAGGAAAACTTATATATGAAGCACAGATTAGTAGTTGCATCAATTGTGTGTGCTGACTGAAATTAAGGATGTCTGACAGAACAACTCTTTGATAACCTCCATCTTAATGCAACAAATTAATAAAAACAGTTCTCATTTATTTCCCATCTTGATTCATAAAGTATCATGGTCGTGTTTCAAACATACTTCCATAATCACAGCCACATTTTGATAATACCCCAAAATCTGCATTTGTAAAGCACTGTTTCAAGTTCGTAGACTTTATTGTTCAGTACTGATGTTTATGTTTACCATGGGAATAAACAATGTAAAGCTAAAAAAAGTCACAGATTGAAGGGAATATGCTCTAATAAGATCTCATTGACGTTTATAAGTTTTATCTTGAGTAACTTTTGAGATTTGAAATTTCTAAAACGAGTGCTTCATAATAACTTTACTGATCATCTCCTAGGAAGAAGTGCTATTTGAAAAGGCAAATATCCCTTCTTTAGCTATAGAAGGAAGCTGGGTCAGGGATTAAAGTCAGGATGAATATGAGCAACTTGGACATTTCATAGAGTTCTGCTTCTTGACTGACATAATACTTAAGGGAACTCAGTGGTACTTATTGGTATGGGCACTCTGCTGCAGGCTTGATCCCTGGCACAAAGCTACTTGAAAAATTAAGCTTTACTTGATATACATGTTGCTGAATCCTTCCAGGATAAAGATACAGAGAAAAACTCAAACACACACACAGGATTTCCAAAACAGAAGAGTTCTAAATTTAGTATGCAAGCTTATCCTGACTCAACAAGGAGATAAAAAATAACAACTTGTGACTCTCACAGGGCCTGTTAAAAAAAATGATAGCAGTAGCAGCAAACATTTTTTGAGACAGGGTCTTGCTCTGTCACTCAGGCTAGACTGTGGTGGTGTGATCTTGGTTCACTGCAACCTCTGCCTCCTGGGCTCAAGCAATCCTCCTGCCTTAGCCTCTCAAGTGTCTGAGACTGTAGGCGCACGCCACTAAGCCCAGCTAATTTTTGTATTTTTTGTGGAGATGTAGTTTCGCTATGTCACCCAGGCTGGTCTTGAACTCCTGGACTCAAGCGATCCTCCTACCTCAGCCTCCCAAAGTGTTGGGATTACAGGCGTGAGCTGCCGCACCTGACCAGCAATATTTATATACAAAACACTGAGTACTGTAGGCACTTTATAACTCAATGCGCCAACAACTGTATGAACTAGGTACTATTATTATACTAGTTTACAAATATTAAAACTGAGGCAGACAGCCGGGCATGTTGGCTCACACCTGTAATCCCAGCACTTTGGGAGGCCGAGGTGGGTGGATCACTTGCAGTCAGGAGTTCAAGACCAGACTGGCCAACATGGTGAAAACCCCATCTCCACCAAAAAATACAAAAAAAATTTAGCCAGGTGTGGGAGCATGTGCCTGTAGTCCCAGCTACTTGGGAGGCTGAGGTGCGAGAAACGTTTGAACCCAGGAGGTGGAGGTTGCACTGAGCTGAGATCCTGCCACTGTACTCCAGTCTGGGTGACAAAGTGAGACACTGTCTCAAAAAAAAAACAAAAAAAAACCTGAGGCAGAGGTTATGTAACATATTCAAGGTCACCTAGCTAGGAGGTAGCAGATGTGAATAATCTAGATCTAGAATCCATATTGTTAATCACTACACTATAAACATCTAGGTTAACAGGAAGATTGTAAATGGAAACAATTTTACAGATTATGGAAATTATATGAGTAGTGAGGTGAGAGAGGGAGTATCACCAAAGTGACCATAAATTTTAGTTCTTCAGACAGAGGTACCCAAAGAAAGTGAACTGTCTAACAACCTCATAGCCAATTAGGACTAGGTCCCATACTATCGACTCTGGACACTGAATTCCACTCATTAAGTCCACAACCTTATGGTTTTCTCAAGCCACAAGACTTACCTGCTCATTTAAAATAACACACTTTAACACAGAACAAAAATATCAGTAGTTGATGCTCTGAATTTAACTGACATGGATAAGCTCGTCCAAAACTGATCTGAGAGAGGCAGTTTAGGTTTTAAGGATGCCTTCTTCATGACTATGAATCCAAACAATAACCTTGTGGTAGACCTTAAAATAGTAAGTGTCATTTGAACTTTAGCTTCTGCATTAATGAAAGAATATAGGTAAATAAACTATGAAAAAGATTTTGCTGCATCATTATTTCCTTCTGCTTTTGGAGATTAAAAAAGAGAAATAAAGGGTGGGCAATGAAAAAAATATACTTGAGAAACCAAAGCCTCAGGAAAGGACAATTGATCCATTGGTTTTCCTTCTCTCCCAGTTGCCAAATGCTTCTATTCCCCTTCCTGAGGAGTGAGAAAAAGAAGATTTAAAGGTGTGAAGGGTTTTAATTCTTCTTTATACCAGTTGTCTGGCTTTTTAGGACTGATGTACTCACAGTCCTTGCTCTTGTTACTGTCTTACTTCACTGTTTCACTCTCCTCTTTCATTCCTTTGTACATAAGGTCTCCGTGAGGTAAAGGCTGCAAAACAACTGCTCCCATTCTTTAGAACCATTTCTTCTCAGGTTTGGTAAGATTTCACAAGCATAAGGTCACACATTTTCTTGAATGTGTAGTAACCAGATCAAAACTTATATACACCATCAGGTATAGGCAAAGAAACCTGAAGATGTCATTCCTTTAGTCACAGCTGAGTTACAAGATAACTGATTTCTTATTCAGTCTGCAAAGAAAGACATGAAAGAAGCAAAAGACTCAAAAAATACACTTACAGACTCATAAAGTTGTTTACAGGTTTGGCTGGCATCAATTTTCCCTGCAAAGGAAGCTGTTGGAACCGTAGTGTTTAATTCATGTACTATTCTGTCATCAATTGTCCTCATCACCTTGAGTAATTCCTATATGTATTTAAAATAAAAGAATATAATCCGAATGGAAAGTTAGTGATAAAAAATGAGTATTTAAGTAAAAAATAAAGCTCTTGGATATTTTACAATCCTTTAAGTCAGGAGTGAGGAAACCAAGCCAAATACAGTGTAACCATAAGAAAATGTTCAAGGATGATAGGTAGGTTAAGAAATGGTAATTTTAACAGTGGGCACCAACTCTGCCTCCTTGGCTCAAATGTGACTGTCTTAAGAGTTAAGACTGTTTTACTCACGTTGAAATCCCGTTTGCTGGCATGGTGTTTAGCAAACAGTGTATGCTCCTTCCATCTCCAGCATACAGCCAATAAAGTATACTACTAGTTTTTACTTTTTCTTAGTAACTCTAGCTCATATGTTCCAAGGATCCCTCTTCCCTCAGAAAGCCTCCAATTCTCAAAAAAAAAAAAAAAAAAAAAAAAAACCTAACAGAAAAATAATATCAAAAGGGCAGGGAACTTAAAAAGACTGGTACTAACTACCCATATAGCATAGCCCTCCTACCCACATGTGATCAGTGTACTTCTTTTCACTTGTCACTAGAGAAAGGCTGGACATCAGCTACATCTCGTCTTCAGTTAAACTCTGGGAGAAGTTTCTGGCAGTATATCTTTCTCTTTCTTTTTTGTTTCTCAGATTTACAAAATATCCAAACAAGAACAACAACAACAACAAAAAACCCCAGTCACTTACAAAGCATCAAGAAAATGGCTAGGCACGGTGGCTCACACCTGTAATCCCAACACTTTAGGAGGCTGAGGCAAGAATATAGCTTGAACCCAGAAATTCGAGACCAGCCTGAATGACAGACATAGTGAGACTCTGTCTCTACAAAAAAAAAATTTTTTAATTAGCCGGGCATGGTGACTCATGCCTACAATCCTAGCTACCTGGGAGGCTAAGGCAGGAAGATCACTGAGCCCAGAAGCTCAAGGCTGCAGTGAGCTATGATCACACCACTGTACTCCTGCCTGGGCGATAGTGAGATCCTGTCTCTTAAAAAAAGAAAGAACGAAAGAAAATAAAACAGAATTATATAATACTAGGAATACACTTATTATTGAAAACATCCAAGTTAACATTCAATATTAATATGTACTAAAAGCAACGTTTGATTCTTTCTCCCTCAATATACTATCCTACTTCTTACCTTTGCCAAACTTAAATCCATGACTGAAACCAATTCCTTTCTTTCCTCATCCATTTGTTAAAATAAAAATTCTTATTATGATTAAATTATTACTTTCATTTTAGAAAAGTTAGAAAAACACTTTAAATAAAAATCATCTATAGTTAACCATTATCAACACTTTAATATGTTCCTTTGGTCTTTTTTCTACACACACCTATTAATGTTTTTATAAAACTGAGGTACTATGTAACATTTTAAAATCTGGCTTTATGACATTATATTATGAGCACTCTGTTCTTGTTGCTAGAAACGTCTTGATTTTTTTTTTCTTTTTTTTTTTTTTTGGGGGACAGGGTCTCACTCTGTTGCTTAG